CCCCCCCCCCCCCTGGATTGATTGGATAATTTTTTATTTTTTTAAAATTTATTAAAGTAAAGAGAAAATAAAGAGAAAGTAACTAAGCTGATGTCCTGTCCGTTCGTTCACCATACAAATACGCTACAGTCAATTAAAACTACATTAAAACATTACTAAAAATTGTTTGCCCCCCCCCCCCCGGAAAGTTAATCGATTTTGTTGCCCCTCCTCCCCTATAAAGTTTTCTGCGGGCGCCCATGGTGGCAGTCATGGGTGGAACTTTGTGGAAGTAGGATGTGTATTATTTATGTTTGATAGCGAGCTACGCTACATTCATTTGTTTATGTGTATAGTAATAAATACTTAGATATTAAAGTTATAATTATTAAGAAAATGTCTGAGTTTATTTAGTGAAAGTAAGAATAGTACGACGTATCAAACGTGTGAAAGAACTTGACGAATCAATCAACCCAAGTAGGCTTAGGGGTTGACATAGCTTATATTAGATTAGGTATTGAAAATAAATGATTATAAAAACATTTAGTCATATATTGATAAATCATTTAACACACCCACCGGAAGACTCTGAACTCAAATATGACATTGAACAATTTATCATTATATTGGTGACTTTTGATGTTAAAAAATAAATATTTAAATCCACAATTTCAAGATCTTCTTTTAAAATTGTGTCCAAAAAGGGCACGACAGGATCACCAAAAGGGGCTGTTCTCACGCATCACAATCTTGTCAACAACAGTTATTTTGTGGGACTCAGGTGTGGATACCATGAACATGTAAGTCATCTTAAGTTAAACAATCATTTTCATCTAGTCAAGAGCAGAATCTAAATATAAACCACTTAAAAATGCATTGTGATACAAACAGATTTTTTATTTAAATTTAAGGTATAAAACTTAGGAACCTTGATGGGGAAAGTAAAACAGATTTGAAGCTGTGAGTAGTACAAGAAATGCTTCAAAGAACTAACCTAAGAGAGCATTTGTTATATTCTTTTCACTAAAAGTGAAGTTATGAATTTATTGGGCACCATTTGCTTACAGTGCACTTAAACTTTGGTATTTTCAATACAAATGAAGATATCAAAGTCATCCTTAAAGAGCAGATTAAAAACTGTCCATAAAGTTAGACAAAATTTGTTGTACCCGTACTTTAATCCTGTTGACAATATTGCCTATAAAGATTGTTCAATGTCCAGGAGTCCATCATATGTTATACACCAGTTCCTTTATATCAGTGCTCTTCCCAGATTTCCATGGCTTCCAAAATTAAAACTTGAACAAAACCCAACTGATTTACTGTTGTTCAGATATACCAAAATCGTAAATGTTTTTTTAAAATTTATTATAGATGTGAAATTAATACGAACAAGTAGAATTTTACACCGAATGATAAAAAACAGTTTTTAAGGTGGAATATCAATAGAGCAGAATTATAGATAAGATATTTTTTTTTTAAAAACTGCATATAAAAATGAAAAGATTTAAATTAAACAATAACTAATGGGACATTTAAGCAGTGACTTGCAAGTGAAGCTACAGTATTTATTTGAATCGAATCCCAAAAATTAAACAAGCCACGCAATAATAATAGCACAAAGCAATTTTTTTCAATTATCATACAATAAACATTCGATTCACTACATAAAGAAATCAGATGAAAGATCTTTGGTAACCTCAGTTTGGACAGAATGGGGCTTAGTTTGTATTGGTTTATTTTTTCATTTATGGGCTTGTTACGCACTGACTTGTATTGGGAGAAATTAATCTCCTATTTTAATTTTAATTGGCTCGTTGTAATCAGTGCCTAACAAAGGACGATACCACAGAATCAACAATATTAAAGATACGACCCAAAACAGTTTCTAGTTACAATTAATAAGATTTATTATGTCTAAAGATAATTACAAAAGAAAATAAAATAAAATTACAATCTTCAACTTACAGTATGGTGGATCTCGTACCGGTACACAGTTAATACAATTAGAAATAATTATGCCAATAAATAATGCGAAATAAACACATATAAGTAGGAGCACACAAATACACAAAGAATAAAACACGCCTCGTAATGTTAAGAGAATCTATATGAAAATCTCCCCTCGTCCGTGCCTGTCAATCCCTTATATAGGTGTAGAGTAAGGCGCTTCCAGAAGGGCTTATGACGTGTTGTTTACATATCTCGGGTTAAGGAGTACATTCCAGAAAGTACCCCGAGTCATTATACCCAATGCGTAATTGGAAGCCGATTGTAAACAAGATACTTCAAAGGCCTAAGCCACACCCCTTTGTGAACACAGCGTCTCATGCGGGGTCAATCAGAGGGCACGCACGAGAAATATGATGTAAACAAGCTCTCTGTAACAGGGCTATAAAATTTTACAGAGGTAGTGTAAAAAACAACAACTAACAATCAACACCAAGTATTACACAATACAAGTGTGAAAAGGGTAAAATATAGACGCAGTCAACTGTCAAAGACTACAATATAATAGCAGTCAAGTATCAAAGACTAAAATATAATAGCAGTCAAGTGTCATAGACCAGTGGTTCTCAACCTTCCTAGTGCTGCGACTCTTTAATACAGTTTCTCGTGTCGTGGTGACCCCCAGCCACACAATTATTTTCGTTGCTACTTCATAGCTGTAAGGATATGTGTTTTCAGATGGCCTTAGGTGACCCCTGGAAAAGGGCCCCGCGACCCCCAAAGGGGTAGCGACCCACAGGTTGAGAACCGCTATCATAGACTAAAATATAATTAATGTGAAAAGAGTGCGGCCAAGGGCCAAAACGAAAGGGGCATATTATACTTCTCAAAGCTTAGTTACACGGGGATAGTGACTTGTCATTAATATCCCCTGAATTGAAACATGCAGAAGTGCTCAGAGCCGTCACATGGGTCCTGAATTTCCTGCAGCTGCAGGGGACCTAAGATTTTTAAGGGGCCCTGAGTTGTGAATAAGTTGTGATGTGGACAAAATAAAAGTCAGTATATTGAGTTGCATTGTGCTCAGAGCCGTCACATGGGTCCTGAATTTCCTGCAGCTGCAGGGGACCTAAGATTTTTAAGGGGCCCTGAGTTGTGAATAAGTTGTGATGTGGACAAAATAAAAGTCAGTATATTGAGTTGCATTGAATAGCTAAATATATAAAACAGAAAATTGGCAGGGGACCTCCAAAAGTCTCATTTTGGTCATGTCTGTGCTATTTGACCTCCAACATTAGTAGGCCAATCATTGTACCCTTTGTTTTAACAAATAATTATCGTCTTCATTTGTTTTTCAACCCCGTGGAGCAATTTTGCGGAGCTCTGCTTTATATCATTGACATTATTAATTAAAGTGCAAGTTGTTCATTGGCCAGGATTCCATCATTTGTGTGCCAGTTCCATTATATCATTGCTTTGGGATGGTTTTGGGATGTATGCAAAGTATCACCCATGGTGCTACAGTGGTGTGGCCTTCGCCTGTCTTTGATCCAGAAAGTGTTCTTAGGGCACTAGAGACTTACAGGTGATTTAGAGCTCATTATTTATAGTTTATTCTTTGTATCAAGCATTAACAGAATATTTTAAACCAGGATATTTTTTGAAAAATTTAATTTTCATTGCCTATTTGTAATTTGATAGAGAATTATTTTTTTTTGTAAGTATTGAACTTACAACAGTTCATTTATAATACATTAATGAATCAATGCCTCTTGAACAGCATCCCCAAATGGTAGTCTGCAGACCGGCACGGCTTTGCGAGCCTTTTGGTGCAGGTCGGCACAACATGAATATTTATATTAAAAAATATATAGATATAATTGATAAATATTGCACTTGGTGCAATTTCCTAACTCATCCACCAGTCCGCAAAACTTACAAGCTGCTTTAGACAATATGAATACATTAAATAGTTGTTAGTCTACTTACAGTCTACTTAATTCCATTGAAGTTAGTCATAACTAAGATGACTATGTAAAAAAAAAAATTCTAAATAAGACTTCACTAATTTAATTTTAACACAGTTTTGAGTTTTTAATTATTGCTGAAACTTGCTGGGGTATCTCTTGCATTATATGAACAAGATTTTGTAAGACGAAAACACAAACGAATGATATGTGGATCTGTTGCGAATTTTATTTTTGAAATCAGAATTCTAAATTACCTTGAAATTCAAAATTTACTTTTAAGTTTAAATATTTACAAAATTATGACAGAGATTGTAATGCAAAGGTCTTATAATAATTCATGCAATGCTGTACCGGTATTAACATGGATCAACCATGCATTCTTAATGTTAATGGAACAGGAGATGTTTTATTTAGTGCAGATATCATCCAGTAGAGTATTTATCAAAACATTCAGCTCTTTAGTTTTCTCAGAATTTGTATCGGTCAATAGATTTGATATGTTCTTGGAAATGATGTGTTTAGAACAAACTGTTTCTATAAGTTACTCATGAATTGGATTTTTTTTTTCAAACAGATGCACAGCCCTGTATGGTGTTCCGACCATGTTTATCGACATCCTGAATCATCCATTGTGTGACAAGATAGACACTTCCACACTGATTACTGGGATAATGGCTGGCTCACCTTGTCCGATAGAGACTGTTAGAGATGTTCTGCAGCGAATGAACATGCACAAATTTACTGTAAGTCACTCATTCCATTATTGTGACTGGGTGCTCGACTATGAGTTTTACAGTGACAGTTTTTGCACATTGTTAAAATCATTTGTTTCATTCAATTTTTTTATTAACTACATCAATATTACACGTTTTTTTGATTAAAAGAATTCTGCAATTCATCATAATGTGCCAGGTCACTGTGAAAAGAGGAAAAAATGTTTAAAAATCAATATTAAATCTCTTGTGTCAGATACAAAAAATTCTCAGTACCTCTTAATGAATACCTAAAGGTAGGACACAACTTTGTAATGCATGTCATATAAATGTTTTGCCACAAGTCATGCTGATGTTGGCTTTCTTCATTTCAGGTCTGTTATGGTTCCCCTGAAACAAGCCCAGTTTCCTTCCAGTCCACTGGTTTATGTTCAGTGGAAAAAAGAGTGTCCACTGTGGGCAAAGTCTTGGACCACCTCGAGGAAAGAAATATTCTTAAACCATTTCACCCAGACCCTTAGAAATTTTTAGCCAAAGGGGAAGAACTCACTTTTTTGTAAACATGTTAAGAAAATTATATTTTAAACAATGCAACATAATTAAATTACATCCTAAAAAATATTGCTGTTGAGAGATTTCTGGGTAAAGCTCATTTCCTGTCATTCCATTGTGAATATTTGGATCAATTCAGTAACATGTCAAAGCAACAAGCTACAATCTTTATTAAAGCTGATAGGTTCTGATGCAATGCTTAACACACTGAGAAAGTGGACTGGCAATATTTCATGACCTGGGACTTTTGTCACATGTGTGTAGTTCTGGCAGATTAATCTCAGGTTCATTTCTAAAGAGCTATTCCTTAGCTTTACTGTTCAAACAAACATTCGATTGCTATTTCATTTGTTCTGAAGAGATTGGATTTACATGCGTTTTTCTCTCTTCCTTCCTACTAAAGTTAATGAAAAGATGATAAGTGACCATGAACTTCCGGGTTAAAGGTCAGCCCCGGAAGTGTTTGGCAATTTATTTTCATTGACGTGATCTCTTAATCTCTTCCCAACAGGCAAAGATCATCGACTCAGAAGGCCGAGTGGTTCCTGTGGGCTCATCTGGTGAACTGTGTACGAGAGGATCAAGTACAATGTTGGGATACTGAGTTGACCAAGAAAAAACGAAGCAAGCCATAACCCCTGATGAATGGTATCACACTGGGTAAGGTTGGAATTATAGCACAAGGGGGAGATGGTGGTATGATATCACAGTGGGTAAGGTTGGAATTATAGCACATGGGGGAGATGGTGGTATGATATCACAGTGGGTAAGGTTGGAATTATAGCTCATGGGGGAGATGGTGGTATGATATCACACTGGGTAAGGTTGGAATTATAGCTCATGGGGGAGATGGTGGTATGACATCACACTGGGTAAGGTTGTTACTATAGCAAATGAAGGAGATGGTGGTATGACATCACACTGGGTAAGGTTGGAATTATAGCACATGGGGGAGATGGTGGTATGATATCACACTGGGTAAGGTTGGAATTATAGCTCATGGGGGAGATGGTGGTATGACATCACACTGGGTAAGGTTGTTACTATAGCAAATGAAGGAGATGGTGGTATGACATCACACTGGGTAAGGTTGGAATTATAGCAAATGAAGGAGATGATGACATGATATCACACTGGGTAAGGTTGGAATTATAGCAAATGAAGGAGATTGTGGTATGATATCACAGTGGGTAAGGTGGGAATTATAGCACATGAGGGTTATGATGGCATGATATCACAGTGGGTAATGTTTGAATTATCGCAAATGGGGGGAGATGGTGGTATGATATCACACTGGGTAAGGCTTCAATTATGGCTCATGTGGGTTACGATGACATACAGAGGCTCTTATTTATCTTAAAAGTGATATAAATTGATTATTTTTTGTAAGTGATTACTTAAATTTGTTAAAATCTAAAATATTGATGAGTTATGTCAGAAACATATCAGAAGAAACTTCATGATTTGCAATGTAGAGCATGCATGGAAATCATAATTACAGTCTCAAAGATAATATTTTTTTTTTTTTTTAAAGTGACCTGGCTGTCATGACAGAAGAAGGCTACTGCAGCATTGTTGGAAGAATAAAAGACATGCTCATTCAGGGTGGAGAAAACATCTACCCTCTGGAAATTGAACAAATTCTCTACCAGCACCCTAAGATAAAAGATGTGCAGGTTAGTCACAACAATGTCTCTTGAGATAAGCCATGTTAAGTATTGGTGAGTTCAAGTCTTGTCATCTTACATTTATAGTTCAATAATTTTTTATGCAAGTAATAAGTTAATCAACAGGACTTACAATTAGTCCAAAACTTTTTTTTTTCCATGGAAAAATAAGAGAAAGTTTATTATTTGAACTGAACATTAAAAAAACAAACTTTTGTGCTTGTCTGAGTTGATTTTTTTATTTTTCAATACATTGGTTTTCCAACAATACCACCTCAAGTCCTATTCAGTGAACAGCAGTGCTATGTAAGGAAATGAAGTTGTCGATTTTTTTTCTACTCTAACTCAAAGAAGATAATAATATATTTTTTTGAAAGGTTAAATACTGAAACTCTATGGCGTATGGTTAGTTTTTTTTTATTAATCATAATTTGAATGTTCTAATAAAAACATTTTTTAAAAAAATATATTGAGTCTCAGATGCAGTGTTTTTGAACAGGTGATTGGTGTCCCAGACAAAAGACTAGGTGAGCAGGTCTGTGCCTGGATTGTGGTCAAATCTGGGATGATGTTAACAGACAAAGATGTCAAAGAATTTTGTAAAGATAAGGTGAGGTGAAAATTTATTGTTTTTAAAGCCATACCTTGTCCAACCTATCTACAAAAAGAATGAAATGGATATGCCAGCCAAATTTCTCTTATGAACCAATGAAATGGATATCCCAGCCCAAAGCTCTTATTAACTCAATGAAATGGATATCCCAGCCCAAAGGCTCTTATGAACCAAATGAAAATCTGAACTCGTAATCCAACCCTCTTGAACCCCATTCCCAGATGGACCTCAATCACTGGCAGACACCTGGCTATCCCAGGAACACCAGAGATAGCTTCCTCAAAATGCGGTTGGATTCCACTTAAAAATGGTCCCTAATTCAAGTTATTGCAGCCGTCCCCTTTTTACCAGTAATTCTGCAGTTGCTGGTTTTTTTACACAGATTCCTCATCAAAGAGATGAAAATGATAGCAAAGACTTAATTTTATATTATTTTAAAGAATTAAATATTATTTAAAAAATGAAAACTAAATTCTACAGCCCCGAAAGCTTTTTTTAAAAAAAAAATGGAATAACTCTTGCAGTTCTGAAATTAGTTTTAATATTACTATGTATGTTCTATGTTAAAATAATTATTAACAGATGTATATAAATAATTTTTGTTGGTCTTCATTGCTTGTTGGTCTTCGTTGCTTGTTGTGTCTAGTTTCTGGCCACTGTGCATATAAGTTACTGAAAGACTGTCAGTGTCAGTGGCTTATCAAAGTTAATGAACTGATGATATTTCGTATTCGTCTTGTACAGTGAAAATGTGAGATTAAGAGATCAACTGTACAAGAAGAGAAAAAAATGTGTTTATGATCTTTTAAAAGGAGATCTACCTGATTAACTAACCCTAATGGGAATTTCACAATGGAAAGAATAAATATATAGTTCTTGAAATGTTACCTCTGTTATTTTAAAATTCTGTTTCAGATGGCCAAGTTTAAAATTCCTCACTACATTTTGTTTGTTGAGGATTTCCCAAAGACAGTTACTGGGAAGATACAAAAATGTGTCATGAGAGAGGAGAGTATTAAACTGCTTGGGCTTGAATGTCAATAAATTCATTTCTAAATATTTAAATCAGATATATTTGACACATACTTAACCGGAGTTGCAATTTTTTACCATGCCAAAATGAGCTGATTTATTTATTGAAAAGGTGTGAAAGATATTTTTGTTTTAAATTAGAACACTGCTGTCAACTGACCTGTGTAAAATAAATTCAAACCCTCCAATAATTGTGTTGGAATGGAACAAACTTTAAGAATTTATTCATTCAAGGTCTACAAAGCTAAAACATGAGCAGGACTCTTGTCTCAAATAATTAAATTATAATTAAAGTATGTCCTATTTAATTTTAAAACTAAATTTTTTTTATTAATCCCTTTTGTATAAGGGATACATTTTTATATGACATTTTGTAGCATTAAAAATGCCAGCAGAATTTGAAATATATATTACTTTATCTTCACAAAGATAACTTGAAACATATTTAGTTGATTTTTGCACACACCATATGATTAAACAACTAAATAACTATTTGAAATCAGGATAATTAATCTGAGTTATATATGGTATATCTAGAAATGTCTTTGATATATTTCAGTTCAAATGCCTTATTCTACATGTATTCCATTGAATAAAACAAAAGTTATTATTTGGCCTATTCTGCAATAGCTCTAAACTTATTTTTTTTTTTAAAAATAAATTTTGGAATTTTCTCACATTACAGATGTGAAGTGTTTAAAATGTGCTGTATATTTTAAGTAAGATTTGAACCTTAGAGTTTTTTATGCTAATATCTATTGTGATACTGAAATTTAGAGAATATCAGTTTTTGTATACTTCAATATATATATAAAACTTTATAAAATTATACATTTGTTGCATGTTAAATTGCTCAACATTTACTTATTGCCTAAAAGTTAATTTTCTCTTTACATTTGCTGAATAATGTCATTACCGGTATTGTATTATCTTTGTTATATTGTGCCTTATACTGGACTCCATGTTGATGTTATTCTGTAATAAAACCCTGTGCACATTCTTAAAAAAAGAATATCTTTTCCCCAAGTTATTTATTACCTCTGAATATTAAAAGAAAAACGGCAGTGGGATGGGGCATAGTTTATAATGAAAATATAGTGTTGAACAGTAATCAATAAATAAAGTTTTTAAAAATGAAATAAGATGCAAGTACTAAAAGCCATGTGAATTAAAATTCTGCATTAGGAATTGTGGAGGACTATTTAAATTAATTCATTATCAATTTAAAAAATTATTAAAAACTTATATCAGGTGTCTAATGAAAAAATGTAATGTAATGAAATACATTGGGGGGGGGGTGAAAATTTGATTAAATATGCATACAAGTAAGGCACTTTATAAGAATACAACTTTAGTGACCCCCCCCCTTCCCCAACAGGCTCGAAAACGCACATATTTTCACGCTCCTGAACTATATCAATATTCTAATGACCCACCCGCTTTTACAGCGGAGATTTATCTCACCACTATTTCACAAATAAAGAAAATGTTTGCCATCAAACGCACTTGCGATATTTAAAAAAAAAAGAATCTCATTTAGCGCAGTTATCGGATTCTCCTTTATGTTTTCTTTAAAAACATGAAAAACATAGCTTTGGGGAATTGGGGTTGAGGTGGGGCTGAAAATTTAATCAGTGACATAGCTAGAGGGATGCGGGGGTGCGGGCTGCACCAGGCGACACCATCTCAGGGGGTGACACCAAGTTGAAAGATTACATATTTAAAGAACACACATTGCTCGGTCTAAACAAATTTCATAAAAGGATAACCGATCACACGTCAATTTTCAACACATGTAAACAATCCTAATGCGTGCTTTATTAAAAGTTCAAGTTTGGTGCATCAGAAATGAGGTGATCTTATAATTATGTCAGAAAAACATCGTTTTGACCATAATTCAACGCGGAATGAAGTGTTCGATATCTTTCTTAAGTGGCCCTCTTTTGCCGAAAATGCTTCATATATTACACGTTTCCTTCTTTGCTGCATCCACTCATCGATGGGTTGTTCCAATTGAACACACTGGAATATCGGTGAAAAGATTGTTAACAATACGTTGGAGTGCTCATCAAGCTGCTGTTAAAACAGTGGAAGATATGTTTGATGAATGTGTGGCAGCGATTGAAGCTATATGTGATTGTCTTGAAATTTGGATACAAGAGGTGGTGATGATGATTGAATTCTTGTATAGCGCTTGTATCCATGCTATTTTAACATGCTCTGATGTCCTACAATCTATTTAAAGAAACAAGTCTTTAAATGCTTCTTTTTTTTAATCATTTTTAATCCAAAAAATCCATCCAATTCAAAAATCCATCGTGGAAGTAGTGGAGAATGGTTGAATACTTTTCTTGTATAGCGCTTGTATCCATGCTCACATCACAGCGCTCTGATGGCATAGCGCTTGTATCCATGCTCACATCACAGCGCTCTGATGGCATAGCGCTTGTATCCATGCTCACATCACAGCGCTCTGATGGCACAGCGCTTGTATCCATGCTCACATCACAGCGCTCTGATGGCACAGCGCTTGTATCCATGCTCACATCACAGCGCTCTGATGGCATAGCGCTTGTATCCATGCTCACATCACAGCGCTCTGATGGCACAGCGCTTGTATCCATGCTCACATCACAGCGCTCTGATGGCATAGCGCTTGTATCCATGCTCACATCACAGCGCTCTGATGGCATAGCGCTTGTATCCATGCTCACATCACAGCGCTCTGATGGCACAGCGCTTGTATCCATGCTCACATCACAGCGCTCTGATGGCACAGCGCTTGTATCCATGCTCACATCACAGCGCTCTGATGGCACAGCGCTTGTATCCATGCTCACATCACAGCGCTCTGATGGCTACAATCTATTTAAAGAAAAAGGTCTTTAAATGTTTCTTAAATGATTTTTTATCATTTTCAATTTCCCTCAAAGATTGAGGCAAACTTTTCCATAATTTTGGCGCTATAGCATCAAAAGAAGGCCCTCCATATGACTTCTTTCTGTGTCCATCCACACTGGGAAATCTCTGTAAGGACTGTGTTGAAGGAGGAGGGGATGACACCATGAGTTTACCGCACCGGGTGACACCAACCCCTAGCTACGCCACTGAATTTAATATAATGTGTTGTCATCGGCAACGAGTCTATGTGCCAAGTTTCAGCCCGATAGGTTGACGGCCGGAAGTGGGTTAGTAAGCCGTAAAAAGGTTATGCCAGCCACCCACCCACGAGCTAAATCGATGCGAATGTATAAGGAATTTAAAACCCACAAACTATATTACGAACGCAAACTAAACGATCAACTTACAATCGAGGGGACACGAAAACGAAAAGTAACAGGGCAGTTTGGGGGGGGGGGGGAGGGGACTTCTAAAGTCATGCCATGTCACTGCTTGGCATATTTATATTTTCGATCTAGGGACTAAGACAGACACAATGGAAGCTTTTGTTACTTTGCATTACAGTTAGCCCGCCACGTCATAAATAACAATTTTTTTTTTTACCGTGTCTTCTGATTCTTTTATGTAAGCGTATGCCTCTTCACGCAGAATGCTTGCGTGATCGATTAGAAATGCGTTCCGGGTCAGGCACAGGTTCACAACATTTTTGGGGTTTTGTTTTTTTTGAATTACGTCTATGTGTTAAAGAAGTGAACCACGCGCCCTGATCGATTAAATATTAATAATTCACGATAAAAAAAAATTCATTATAGTTTTATCCTATGGCATTTTTTTTCCAAATGTAATGTTTTAATTAGGCTGCAATCTATATGTACCCGGGTACCTATAGTTGCCAATTACTACTCGCACCCGGAGTGGTTCCGTACATATTAAATGGCTTCAAGTTCGAAGCCGGGTGCGATAACAATAATAGTATGAAAATTATTTTAAAAACAATTTTTTTTCTCCTTGTTATTGTATAGATTCATATGTAGAAAACTGTAGTAGTGTGGTGGTGTGGTGATCCTGCCGACAACGCCAAAACTGTAGCCGAGTGGTGACGTAGCTTACAGTTTACATAAAATCACAATAAAACAATCAGGTCTGAGGACTATAGCTTTTTAATTAATGTAAGGTACAATCCGTTGACAGTGCCGATAGGAAAAATCTCTCACACCTGCCATCGACCCGACTCATCCGTTCCACCCCACAATCTCAAAAATGTACACACCTCAAGCCCCAGTTCGCCCCCCCCTCCCACACACACACACAGTCACAGGGAACCCACGTCCGAGCTGACCATGGGTCAACCCCGGAGCAGGGATGGTTATTCCCGCGTGTAAATAACCTACATAAAATTTAAGGCCAGTACACGGCTGAGTGTTACGTTAAATGACCATGGATGTGTCCGTGCTTGGGGTTACCCATAGCAGTCACACTATGACTATGAGAGTGGACCATGGATGTGTCCGTGCTTGGGGTTACCCATAGCAGTCACACTATGACTATGAGAGTGGACCATGGATGTGTCCGTGCTTGGGGTTACCCATAGCAGTCACACTATGACTATGAGAGTGGATTCTCTTATTCCTATCTGTTCCATACTGCCGCATATAAAATGTTACCTAAAAGCAGTTGCAAATAGTGGCACATTGCCACATATATAAGGCCGGGGTTGATAACGCTTTATATTTCCATTTATGTAGCTTTATATATGTCCCCTTATAGATCTATTTATATCCACTTATAACTTTATGTTAGTCCAATTACAGCTCTTATATATGTCCACTTATAAATGTCTTTATATCCACTTATAACTCTACATCTCTTCAATTATAACTATAAATATGTTCACTTAGAGCGTTATATCTGCTCGTCTGATGTTTTAGCTGTGAAGCCACGAAGCTATAATTTTGGAAGTACTTTGCCAAGATCCTTGTTTTGATAGTTAGGTTGAAGTAACTTGTGTTTGATCTCAAGCAAACAACGGCGGAACACGCGGCCATTTCGGTTTCTCGAAATCAACCCGGGGAAAAATTTTGGGGCCCCCCCCCCCCCCCCCCCCCATTTGGGTCAGTTCGTCGTCTAGAACCCTTGCATGTAAATTGTGCCGATGACGACTTTGCTCACTTGGACACGATATTTGCTAGAGCGAGTTAAATGTTCGAGAGAGTTCAGTTTCATCTTCCTTAAACGACCGTACTCAATAATGCCCACACATGGCTGCTAGGGGTGATGCTATGGCGCCAGTGTGGCGGTGGCCTGACACGGTTTGGCCACCACTAGAGTAAGCAATCATTTGTACCAGGCACGGAGCCCTGGCATTAACTGGTGAAGGGGTAAAACCAGCATCTCGAGCACAAATGTTACACGACGGGTGCTTGGTCCTGCCATAAATAAAAAATAGATAAGTGTGAAGCCTGTGTTCTCGCACCTTAATCAGCATGGGGGGGGGGAGAATAGACAAAGAAAGAGTTAGCAAGGGAAAGAATTTATGACGTGCATAGAAAATGGTCCCATAGAAAACCATATGGTATACATGTCATGTTTTACATGAGACCATATGGTATACATGTCATGTCTCATGTAAAACATGACATGTATACCATGTTGTCTCATAGAAAACATGACATGTAAACCATGTTGTCTCATAGAAAACTTGACATGCATACCATATGGTCCGATATAAAACATAACATGCATACCATGTTGTCTCATAGAAAACATGACATGCATACCTTATGGTCTCATGAAAAACATGACATGTATACCATGTTGTCCCATAGAAAACATGACATTCCCACCGTATGGTCCCATAGAAAACATGACATTCAGACCGTATGGTCCCATCTGTTTTTATAGAATATAAACACAGTTATTTTACACCCCTCCTTGGTTTCAGGGACCGAAACCTCCAGGTGAGAAGGTGAGTACATCAGTGCACGTTAACTGTGACAGGTGGGCGGTGTCATGTGACAGGTGGGCGGTGTCATGTGACAGGTGGGCGGTGTCATGTGACAGGTGGGCGGTGTCATATGACGGATGGAATGTGTTATGTAACATAAGAGATTTATGATAGAAAAATTCGGATGTGTCATGTGACATATATAATTTATGATTATAGAACAGCCATAAGGGA